GTGCGCGCGCGCGCGCGCGCGCGTCAAAGAGCGAAGGGGAGGGACAGAACGCTTTAATATTTTTCAGTGACTTAGGAGCCCGCGGGTAAGCTTTTGGTTGTGCGTTGAGGTCCTTGTGTGGATCAGTGTGGCTGTAGATTTCTGGTTTACCCTGCGTGTGAATGTCACGGGGCTTCCGGAGGGCGGGGGGGGCAGCTGGATACTAGCTTGTGAATGTGCTTCTGGGTCTCGGCGGGACTGAGTGATGCGGTGCCTGCGTGGAGTGGTGTGTTTGTGTGCAATTGTTTGTAGGGGGTAGTGTGGCTGCGTGGGTGGGACTGCGCCTGTGTGGGGTTGTGCGTGTATGTATGAGATTGTGCCTGCGTGGGGCCGGGGGAGCTTTGTGCCCGTGCGGGCTTGTTTGCGAGTGGGCTGACGGTTGTGTGGGGCTGTGGGCTGCGCATGGAGGGGCAGTGCGCCTGTGCGGTCTGTGGGCTGGCCAGAGGCAATGGTCTGTAGCCGCCGGCGGCCGTGGGGCTGTGTTCTCTGTGCGGGTTTGAGGCCTGGAGGGCTGGGGCTAGCCCTCGTGGCGTCGGGGATCGCACCGCCGCAGAAGAACCGCTTAAGGCGCGAACAAGCAGCGATGGGGTCAAGGCGCAGCGCGACGTGTAGTAACGGAGGAAGGGGAAGGCGGAGGGAAAGGGGGGGCCTTCTTTCCGCGGCTCCCCTCGCCGCACCAGAGACGCAGCTCGGCGGAGATCCTGCCACTTCCCGGTTCCAAGGTCCTAGAGGCACAGGATTTGGGAGCCCCTGCCTGGCTGGGGAAGACGCCTACGGCCAAGGGGACAGCAGGGAACGACTCCCGGAGAGCCCAGAAGCACACGAGTAAGGCCACCCAGAGAGGCGGGTCGCAACCGGGAAAGAGCCAAGGACTAGGTCGAGACAAAGAAGACTGGGGGCCTTGGGGCTGGACTGCGGCCGAGGGGAGGCCTGCCCGAGCGCTAAAGGCCAGAGCGTGGTGTGGGGCGGCGGTGGCGCGACCCCAGTTCGCCCGAGTATGGGGAGTCACTCCAGCGCCCCAGGGGCACATAATTACGCGCCCGGGGCGGGCCGCGGAAAGCCAGATTCTGAGCGAGCTGGCGGTCACCTAGCCCCAGGGCTGTGATTGAGTGTTTCTCTAGCCCGCCCCTTTTTAGGCTGCTCGTGGCCCAAACAACCATTCATTCATCCATCCCTCCATTCATTCATCCATCCATCCATCCATCCACTCATTCATCCATCCATCCGTCCAACCACTCTTCTTTCCATCCATCTGATTATCCACGCCAAGGATCACACTGACAGGGCTCCCCCCCCCCCTCACTTTGTCCCCTTGGTCAGACAGTCACATTCTCTTAGGTCCCTACTTCCACTTCTTCCTGCTTGGCAGGAGAGGAGCACACCCCAGGGCCTCTATCACTTCACACTTAGGGCTTGCACCCAAAATTGTGTGCCAGGTGGGTGTGGGTACCTTCCTCCTGGCCCTCCCTGAAGCCTGAGGCTCAGTCCCCGCTGGCCTCCAGGTGGGTGTGGGTACCTTCCTCCTGGCCCTCCCTGAAGCCTGAGGCTCAGTCCCCGCTGGCCTCCAGGTGGGTGTGGATACATATTGGTGCCTCCAGGTCACCGGTTGAGGACTGTAAGGGCCTGATGACACAGAGGCATCATCAGAACCCCAGTGAACTGAAAGTTACTCAGAAACCTGTCAAATAGGAACAGATTCCTGGGCTGTATCCCAGATAGAGTCCTCAGAATGCCCAGAGCCTCTGCCTGGGAATCAGCATCTTGCAGCCAGATGTGGGGCACCACTGACATGATGCATCTTACACCCTCCCCAGACCTTAGTGCTGCCCCCCAAGCAGCCGCCTAACGAGCAAGCCTTTCTATCAGAAGTGAATCCCCAAGACCCAGGGCAGCCCCAGCTCCTCTCTGGACTCGAGACTCCCCATCTTTAAAACAGGGCTTCTTAGTGTCCACCTTTAATTATTGGGACTGGGAACAAGGGCGACCGGGTCCTGAGGCTGCTGGGGGAGCCAAGAGAAGGCCCACTGTGGGCACCATTGAGCCTGGTGGCAGAAAACCCAAATCCCTGCTGGGGACCACCAACCCCGTCAAAGATGGACCCCTTAACCCCTGGCACATCCTGGATTAGCTGTCTGTCCTGGAGGGCATGGACAAACTTACCTCCCTCCTGTTTGAGGGATCAGAGGGAGAAAGTCCTCCTGGTAGCTTATGGGACCCCCTCATCCCATCAGGCCCCCAAGACCTCCCTGATCTCGTGGCCCACCCTTTCACCCTCACTCATTGTGGAACCCCTCGCTATTCCTTGAATCCAACAGGTACCTTCTCACCTCAGAACCTGTGCACATGTTGGTCCCCCTTTGCCTGGACCAACTTTCTAAGGCACTGCAGAATTTACCTATTCATGTATTTATTTCAAGGGTATTTTTTTGTTTGCTTCTTGGTGTCTCCACGGTGGGTGGGAATGGTGCGGGTTCCCATTTCTGTGTCTTGCTGAAGCAAGCCCCTGTCCTGACTGGGAATGGGCTCCTCCTCTTTAAATTGACAGCCCCCTTAGAGAAAACTGGAGTGGGCACATGGAGAACCTCACAGCTGGGACAGGTCTCATGACTCACCTGAGTCCCTCCAAGTACCTTTCATGGATTCTGGGGATCTGTCCCAGGGGTCTACAGGGATACAATGGTGGTGGGGTGCCTTGTCACAGAGGAGAGCAGCGCCCTGCATCTCACTGTTCTGCAGGTCTCTCTTTTGCTCCCTAGAGCTTCTTAAGGTAGTCCTGTGGCAGAGGAGCCCAGATCCCAGAGGGCTGTCAAGGGTGGACGGATGGATTCCCCTACCTGGCCAAGGCCCTTCCATAAGTGTCACTGCAGAGGGGTCACAGGACAGCACGAAAAAGCTGGGATCGGTCCATCCCTGAGAGGTGAAACCCAGGCTCATGCCAAGGACCCAAATAAAGACAGTCTGATCCCACCTGACTGCAAGATTCAACAGAGGCCTTGATCACCTCTGCCCAACATGGCACCTGGGTAGCTCAATATGTATGGATTAAATGAACAGACGGAGTGGCGACGTCAAAATTCACACTCAGGTCTGCATGGCCCCCACACTTCTTCCTGTCCCATCAGACCCTATTAGTGGGATTCCACGGGGTCACGGTGCAGCATCAGCACACAGCACAAATGACATCCATCAGGAGGAAAGGACCAGCAGAGGAGACAGCATGGCGGGCAGGCGGGTGGGTTTTCTGCTCTCCCAGGATCTAACTCCAACTTCTACCATGTGGACCCTGCCCCAGGGGAGAGGGGATCCCTGCTGCTTGGCTCAGGAGAGATCTGTGGGGCATCTGGGGGCTGCTCATAGGTCTCAAAAGGCCTGGCACTTCCTGGTGAGGCGGGCCTGCGCTCTGAAGGGTCCTGGTCTGGGCAGGTCTCCTTTTGTTTGCCCTTTTGCTCTGAATAGCTGCTTTCATGCAAAGTGCATTATCCACCGAGACGGAAAATGTAGAGGCGGCTGGGGGCACCAGAAGGAATGCAAACTGAGGATAAGGTTCACTGACAGGCCACCAGGGACAGGGTTAGCCAGGGGGTCACCAGGTGGGCAAGGAGTGGAGAAGAGGACTATGGACTCCATCCCATACCAGATGCAAACTCAAATTCAAAATCAGACCTGGGCTGGTACCCTCAGACTGCAAGTCTACAGGCCTGGAGGAATGGGTGAAGGGTCATAAAGTGGGTCAGGTTTTTCCTTTATCATCTTTTTTTTTTGGGGGGGGAGGTTTTATCGGGCTTGTAACCAATTTATTGAATAGGGGTGGCAATTTCAAATTTCTATGTATCTTATTCCTCCCCACCAGTCACCTGCTGCATTTCAGAGACTGGGTGACAGACAGGTGCAGATGATTGACTTTCCCAAGCTCACCCACTTGGAGTGTGGCGGAATGATTCATCCATTGGGTTGGCAAATATTTACTGAGCATCTACTACATGCTAGGCACTGTTTTTATGTTGAGGATTCAGATCAAGGAAGGGGGCAATGCTTCCATTTTAGTCTTGGGACAGACCAGAAACAGACTGGATAAGGAAATGATGTCTAGTCCTGTGGTTCAGTCGAGCAATGCATCCTTAGGCCCTTTTGTCATGGTGTGAACATCACTGAGTGTCCTTATACAAAGTGAGACAGCTACCAATGACACTAGGAAATGTGGTCTTATGGAACCCCTGTGGCACATGTGGTCCGTCACTGGCTAAAACATTATGCGGTGCGTGACTATAGAATGTTACATGTAGGTGAGGCATGTTGTGGAAAAACAAATAAATAAAGCTAGGGAAGAAGGCTGGGAGCCTGGCAGGGCCATGTTGACACTGGGTGGTCAGGGAACTCATATCTGACAACCAACTTGAAAGATTAAGGTAGGAAGAGTGTAAATACCTGGGGGAGGAGGGAGCTGTGTATGTGGAAGCCACCGTAAGGGCAAAGGCCCTGAGGCAGAGCTGGAGTGAGCAATGTGGCGAGTCAGAAGAAACTGGGGACAGAAAGGGGGCAAAAGGCCACCACACCCATCGGGCCCTGTACCCCACTATAAAGACTAAATCTTTTACAGTACATGAGATGTGGGGTCTTTGTAGTGTTTTGAGCAGAGAAGGGACATGATTTCCCTTAGGTCCTCATAGCGCCCCCTGGCGACCATGAAGAGAATGGACCCTTGAGCCAGAGCAGAAGCCAGAAGCCAGGAGGCCGGTGAGTGGCCCTCACTGTGTGTGTGTGTGTGAGGGGGGGGGATTATTTAAAAGCCTTCATGCTAATCGGTTAACTTTCAACCGCCCAAGAGGCCCCATTTTTAGAGAATGCACCGTGAACTGCGCCCTGACTGGGTACACCGCGGGTGACCCTCCCCAGTCACCTTCCTACCGTGGAAACCTCCGCCCACCCATTTCATGAGCATATTGACTTGGGCTGGTGGCTGCCAGACCTCCCTCTCCCACGGATCCAGTTTTGTCTCCCAGACCAACCAAGATCACCGATTGCGCAAATTTCTCCCTTGGCGTATCCACTGCGTGCCAGGTGCTGTTGCTTGGGCCACTGGGAGACGGCCTCCACGGGTCTGGGGGGGGGTGCATTTGACAATCACAGCCCCGTGCCTTTCTGTCCCCATCAGAACACTCTGACGCCCCACGCTCCCTCGGGGAGCTGGGCTACCATGTGAAACTGAGCAGACGCCAGAAAACATGTTTTTCTTTGAAGGCAAAGAACTTCATATTTCAGCTAGTGGAAGGCGGGGCGGTGGTGGGGAGCCATCAGGAGTATAAATATCCAAGTTCTCTTTAAGTTTTGGGCACATTTTCAAATAGCCTGCATGTCCCCCTCCCCCCGAGTCCCCCTTCCTCCCCAAACCCCAGGGGCTGGCAGTAGAGGTGGGAGGATAAGCCAGAGTGCCCGGGGAGGAGGTTCACGGTAGAAAGGCCACCCTGCTGTCCACCTCTCTCGCTGGGGCACATCTCCATCTCTTCCCCGGACTGGGGTCCACCCGACAATGCTGGTGGCCGGGCCAGGACCAGTGCTCTTTCTGTTGCCTTTGATCCGAGTGGTCTTGGATCTCCTCTGTCTGCGGTTTCTCTGCCACCTGTCCTGCCACCTGTCCGTCCATCCTTCCTTACGAGCCAGTGGGAGGCCATCGGAGGAGGCCCATGAAACTCCAGGCTCACGCAGGACCGAGTGTGAGTGGAGGCCCCCCCCTCCAGCCACCGGGGCGGGACCCTGCTCACGGGTCATGGGGTCTCCCTGCAGGTCTGTGGCCTCATCTCCACCGCCTCTATGGCGTCCTTCTCCAGGGTGACCAAGGCGGTCAGTCCTTCCTCTTGGGGTCTTGAGGGGGTCCTCCCCTGGCACAGCATTCACTTCCCCTTCTCAGCCTCAGCGTCTGAGTGAATTAGAAGTGGCAGGGTCCCAGGGCCATAGCAGGAGACTGGCCAGCGGGTGAGGGGACAGAGAAGGCCAGATGGATGGGAGGTGGGGAGGGAGGAGGAGGGCCTGGGAGCAGATGAAGGAGGGAGGTGGGCAGAGGAGGGGAGAGGCGTGGCAGAGTCACTGGGGTGGGCCCAGCTCTCAGTCTCACAGGAAGAGGAGTCTTACAGGGTCTCTGTCACAGCCACGGAACAGCGAAGCCACACGCCTGCTTTGCCCCCTGCCCCGGTGCCCAGGGCCCAGATCCACCCCTGGGCCAGGTGGCTGAGGCCTAAAGGACTCTTGGCGCCAACACAGACTGAACTCCAATCCCAGCCACAGACTGACCCCCCCCACCTCAGCCACAGCAGCAGGGGCTACATTCCAATCCCTGACCCCAGTCCCAGCCCCAGGCTGACCCCTACTCTCTGCCATATGTGGACTTCTGACCCCCGGCCACAGTGCCTCGTCACAAACAGACACCTGGCTGCTGACCCAGCCACAGCCTGATCCCAGATGCTGGTGCAGGCCCACAGTGGTGACGATCTGGAGGACACATTCCACCAGGCCACCAGGGACTGTTTCGGGACGGCCAGGAGAGGCCCAGCTCGGCGCCCTCCCACCCCAGCGACGCACTATTAACCCTGCACCTGCCTTGTGCTGAGGCCACAGGGCTGGGGTGACCACAGAGCCTGCAGCTTCTGACGTTTTCCTAAAAAGAAGTCCAGCAGCACCAGGTGGGGGCAGCTGGCCAGGGGCCAGAGTGGCCCCTCGGCCAGGGTGTGCAGCCAGACACACGCACAGATACCCCAGGACAAGACACCTGGCTCAGACCTCAGTGCACACACACAACAGCACAACACTCACACATACACACACGCACCACACACACACACACAAATAGTAAGCACAAAATCAGACACGCGGGGTTCGGGTGGTGGCCCAGCGGTAGAGCGCTCGCCTAGCATGTGCGAGGACCTGGGTTCGATCCTCAGCACCACATTAAAATAAATAAATAAAATAAAGGTATGGGGTCCAACTATAATTAAAAAATAAATATATATTTTTTTTTAAATCAGACACGCACTCCCGCATCCAACCAGACATGCATTCACGTGCAAAGGCCCCACCCCTGCCACTGGACAGGGCTCCCAGGACACCTGCTCCTCCTCACCTGGACCGTCCTTCAGCCCCATGTGCCCAAGAATGGAAATGACTGCACACCCCCACTTCCTCTCCTCCTGAAAGGAGCCCAGGAAAGCACCCAGGACTGAGTCCTGGTTGTGTCTCTGTGGGGCCTGGGGGCAGCCCCAGCCCTCCGTGAGCCCCTTCGGCTTCCTCTGACTGCTTCAGAGAGAACCAGAGAGCCGTCGGGGCGTGCTCACTGCTGGAGGGCTACCGAGACCTGGGGGCCCACGTCACCTGCACCCTGGGGCTGCCAGCCCGTGTATAAGTATGCATCCTCCTGGGGGCACACACACTCTACCTTCAGACACACAGAGATGTGCACAGAGACATGTGACATGCACACCTAGGGACATGCGCAGACACACACATGCACACTTAGGTGTCAGTCACCTGCCTTGGCACATCTTTTGTTCCCTGACCCCAACGATGGGAGTCCTTAGGCTGTGGGGATCTTGCATGGCTCAACCGCTCCTCCAGGGACCCTCTGGCCCCTTTCTCAGTTCTCCATGGGACTTTGCCCAGCCTGGACATAATGCTCCCAGGGGATGCTGACCACGGGGTCCTCCTGGTCCCAAGGTGAGGACCCCTAGCTTTATCTGAGTGGCAGCTACAGCTCCTTCTCGCCCTGGCGGGTGATGACATGCCTTTAAGTCTCTGGCAATGACTTGCTCAGCTCCCTCCTTGCTGAGGGAGACCCAGGCCCCTGCCTCAGTCTGCCATCTGCAAAATGGGACGAGACTGGGCTGACCTGGAGTGTTCAGAACAGTCAGGCAACCGGAGGACATGGACCTGAGTACCTGGAGGTTCAGGGGCGGCTCAGCCCCTCGGAGCCTCCACCTGCCTGGGACAGGGCTTCATCCACTCAACTCTGGACGGGGCGGTGGGCGGGGGGGTTAGGAAGGCAAGGACGTCTCAGCAGGAGCCTGGGGACAGGGTGAGCCTAGGGACCCTGTGAATGTCAAAGCCTGAATTTGCAGAGATGGGCTCTGGAAAGATGGAAGAGAAACTGCTGATCGAAGGCCTGGGGCTGTGGCTCAGTGGTAGGACGCTCGCCTAGCATGCATGAGGCCCTGGGTTCGATCCTCAGCACCACTACAAAAAAAAAAGAAATTGCTGATCGAAACGGAACCTTGATTCGCCTGGGTGAGGCCTGGGACTTGATGCCAAACACCAAAGATAAATAGATAGATAGATAGATAGATAGATAGATAGATAGATAGATAGATAGATAGATCGGGTTAAGGGGTGTAGCTTGGTGCCCGAGCACTTGCCCAGCATGCACAAGGGCCCTGCGTTCCATCCCCAGCACAGCTCTGGATACCTAGAGAGTGTCCTGAGTGGAAAAGTGACCGCTCCCATCCTCCTTACCCCCTAACAGGAAAGGTGCGGCTCCTGATTGTCCCCTGGGCCAGTCCCGGCACCGTCCCATCATGGCTGTTACCTGGGCACCTCTGCACCCCCTCTGGGCCCCTGTTTCTGGAGCTGAGAAGAGGGATATTGCTTTGGGCCCAGGGCTCTCCTCGCAGCTGGTGTTAGGAGAGAGATGGAAAGCAGTTTTCCACACTGAAGCCCCAAAGGTGGAGGGCGAGGTTGCTGTCGCCCCCCAACGTCGCCAAGAGCTGGGGAATCCTACCCTCCCAGCACACCTGAAAGCAGGTCTTTCACCCCGTCAACTCACAGAGCCCAGGGCCAGGCCCAACCAACCACGAGCATTCGCTTCTGGTCCTGTTTCTGTCCACCCCTGAGGTGGAAAGGCGGATGGTGGGGTGTTTTTTAGACGATCCACAAGGCTCCTGCTATGGTCTGGAACCACGAATTCATCTAGGACTCTAATCCCAGAGTCTTTATACTAATCGTATTAAGAGGGTGGAGATTGCTGGGTGCCGTGGCACCCGCCTGTCATCCCAGTGACTTGGGAGGCTGAGACAGGAAGATTGCAAGTTCAAGGCCAGCCTGGGCCACTGGGGGAGACCCTGTCTCAAAATAGAAAATGAAAAGGGATAGGGAGGTAGTTCAGTGGTATAGCACCCCTGGCTTCCAACCCCACAGCCTCAGTAACAAAACAAAGAGGGCAGAAACTTAATCCCACTATGGCATTTAGAGGTGGGGTCTCGGGAAGTGACTAGATTAGGTCATTGGAGTAGAGCCCCCCCCCATAGCTTTATGAGGTGATGGAGAGGGACCACAGAGACACAGATACATATTCTCACCACGATATGATGCGGTCCCTAGGGGCTCTGCTAGAGCCTATGCCCTGCTATTTGAACCTTGAACCTCCAGAACCGTGAGCCAAAATAAACCTCTTCTCTTTATAAAGTAGTCTGCCCCCAGTGTTTCATTATAGTAACAAAAAACTGACTCACACAGCTCCCAAGACACGTGCCAAAAGACTCACGCCCAGATACTTCACATCGTGTTTTGGAACCCCAGTTTTCCCCACCTTTAAAATGGGGGAAAAAAGCAGGGCCTGATTCATGTTGAGGAGGTACTCAGAAGTCATGTTGTTGTGAGCCCTTGAGAAACGTCAGTCCTGATGATTGTCACTTCTCCCTGGTCCGTGGAGAGGTAAGGCTTCAATCTCTGGGATTGAAGGATCACCTTCCAATTTCACAGTGATGATCTGAACATGGAACTGAGAAATCCTACTCGCTTCTGTTGTCGGGTCAAGCCGAAGGCCACCCCCACTTTGACCCTCACGCCAAGTGACCACCACCATGTGCCCTGGGCTACGAGTGCTCCATCTCTTCATGACCTCCCGGAGGCCATGTGAGGGGCTCCTAGCTGCAGACCCAGAAACTGGGGTTCAGAGAGGGAGCTGAAGAAGGGTAGAAGCAACCGGAAGACAAGATTTCACCTCCATATAAGGAAGAGCTTGCTAACAGGCCGAGTTGCCCAGAAATGGAAGGGGTGATCTGTGATGGGCGGTGGTGAGCGGCCCGGGACTGCAGGCATGCAAGGAGAAGGGGGCGGGCCGTGCCGGTGGGCGGCCGGGACACTGCCCAGGAGAAGACTGCTGGCATCTCTGGTCCTGTGACTTGACCCAAGGCCACGTGAGCAGGAATGGAATTCCAGAAGGTCAGCGCTGGGGGCCAGGGCGGCTGCACTCCTGCTCCAAATCCCCACGTGAAAAGTGGGGGACTGGAGAGAGGCCAAGTCCCCTCCCCAGGTCACAAGAATTTCATGTTTTGAGGCAAACACCTACCTTTAGTTTCGAGAAAGGTGTAAAAAAGACACAAAAATAGAAAGAAGACGGCGGTCCAGAATCATCCTCCCCTGAAAGACTCTCAATATTTCCTTGCCATCTTTTTGTGCATGCCTCAATTTTGGCTAGAAATCCTAATGTGCTTCAAAATAATTTTTATTGAGATATGATTCACATCATATAAAAGTATCCCTCTTAGCTGGGCACGGTGGTGCACGCCTGCAATCCCAGGAACTTGGGAGGCTGAGGCAGGCGAATCACAAGTTCGAGGGCAGCCTGGGCAGCTTAGCAAGTCACCGTCTCAAAGTAAAAAAAAAAAAAAAAAATGAAAAGAGCTGGGGGTGGGGCTCAGTGGTTTAGCACGTATGAGTCCCCAGCGCTGCGTAAACAAACACCCCCTGAAGCAGACAATCCCGTGGTTTTTTGGCACATCCACGGAGCCGTACAGCCAATACCATCATCTGATATGAGAACTTTTGACTCCCTCCCTAAGAGAAGCCCCGCCCCATCAGCAGCCACCTTTTTCTTCCTGCTCCGGGTCCCTGGCACCTACTCAGCAACTTCAGGATTTGCATGTTCTGGTCATTTCATGTGAACAGGGTCAGAGGCCCTTCTGCACCTGGCACTGGTGTCGTTTTAATGTGCAATTTTCGAATCCTATTTTCACCTAGAATGACAAAGTCACCTGTTCCATATTGCCACCAAGATCGTGACGATAAATAGGCTGGACTCTTGCGTACCGTGGAGAGATTTTTAATAGTTTCCGTAACTCTCCCGGTGACCCCCGACAGCTCGCTGAGGCCCCCACTGTTGCTGGACCAGACCAGTTTGGTGGCCTCCTCCTTGGCCTCCCTGTCCCAGTTCTTGCCTCCTTTGGTCCTGAGAGCAGCCAGACAAGAGCCAAATGGAAGTCAGATCCCGTTCCTCCCTGAGCCAGAACTCTTAATGGCTCTCATCTCCCAGAGGACTTTAAACCCAACTCCCTGCCACAAGTGGCAGTCCCCCGTGCAATCTGACCTCTACTTGCTAGGCACTGCCAGCGGCTGGGAAGGTCGGGATAAAGGGTTTCCATGCCTCACCTTCCTCAACTCACCAATGACACAAGTCCAAACTCAGTGACTTCACCTTCTCCCACTCTCTCCTGGGCGCTGCTCTAACACGCCAAGTATAGCCCCACCCCAGGGCCTTTGCACGGGTCCTTGCTTCTGCCTGGAACCACATCTCTCCTAGATATCGGCCCAGCACCCCAGTCACTCTCTATGCAGGTAGGCCGGCTGTCTTTTTCTCCCTAACACTCGCTACCTGATATCTCTGTCTGTTCACTGCCTTCTCTCCCTCTAAAATGGCAGCTCTGTGGCAGGTTGTCTTGTTCGCTGATAGATCCCCAGCACCTCGCCTGGGGTCGCAGCTGTGACTAGTTGGGCTGTTTCCAATAAAACCAGGAATGTAAAGAAGCAAACGGATAAACCCAGGCGCCCCGCATGGCAGACGTCACGCCCAGAAGGTGGGCCTGTGGTGTCTGAACCACACCGGGGCCCCGGGGAGAAGTGAGCCAGCATCCTGACATCAGGGAGGTCACAGAAAAAAATCCAGATTCCGGCTGCTCCAGAAAACTTGGCTCTGGTCCTGAGGGGCCGGCCACCCACCCTTGGGACCACCACCATCAGCAGCACCGAGAGGCTGGACCCAGGGCTCCCGCCCATCATCCGCCCTGGGGTTGAAGGCCTCCTGTCCCCTGAGAGACACCCGAGGTCTCCCCAGTTGCTGCCGCCTGATAGGCCAGAGCCGTCTCAGCGCCCTGAAGGGCCCCGGCCCCCAAGGAGGGTCCTCCGTGTCTTGGTTCCGCTGGGGGACCTTCCTGAGCGCACGGAGCTCTCTCCACCCCTAAGTGCCCACTCCATCTTGTGTCTTCCAAGGGCCCCCCTTTCCCCTGAGGGCCTTCGAGGTGCCCCGGCTTCGTGCTTGTGCCTGGTGTGCCCTGCTTCCACCTGGACCCTGAGCTGGGGGCACGCTCGCCCCCAGGCCCTGGCAGAGCGCAGTCTGGCACCTGGTGGGCCTGCAGGCACATGGTGACCCAGGAGCACCCTGTGGGGGCAGCAGGAGGGCTGAGGGTCTGATCTGGGTCACAGCCGGTGCCCCCATGCCCTTGTCAGTCACCTCTCATGCACCAGGGGTCATGTAAAACCCAGTGGCGGGCGGGGGGCGGGGGGCTTGCAATGGGAGACGGGTCCAGCCCGGCCACGGCAGCTGTGCGCGCCCAGGACCAGGACCGAGGGCTCCACGCTGGGACGCGTCCCACGTTCTCCCCAGGCCTCAGTCTCCCCACCCACCATGGGTGCCCCCCTGATCAGCGGCCTCTCAGGCCCTGCCGCCCGGCCCCGCCTCCCCATCCTGGAGAGGTTTTCCGGGTACTGCGGGCCCTGCCTTCCCATCCATCAGGATTTTGCTGCATTCCTGTGAGTCATTCTCCAAACAAACCGTGCGAGGGAGAGAAAGGAGCAGGGGAGGGGGAGGGGAGGCTGGGAAACAAACCCAACCCTGCTTCCTCCCTCCCCGGCCCCCAGCGCCCCCCTTCCACGCACACATGGGGCTCCTGGGAGAGCTCTGGGGTATGAGGCAGGTCAGCTCGTGCGGTGGACTTGCTGTGTGACCTCGGGCAAGACCCTTGCCCTCTCTGGGTCTCTGGAGAAAACCACCCTGAAAGATCCACACCTACAGGATGGCCCGGGATTCTGAGAAGGCTCTCAGAAGCAGACGAGGCAAGGTGCCGTCCTGCGGTTTCTGAAGTGCTCCCTCCCTGGCCTCAGTCTCCCCACCTGGGTAGGCACACCCGGAGACGCAGCTGGACATGGAGAGCCCGGATGTCCAAGTCACCTGTGCCAATCGCCAGGCTGGGGCCAGCCGGCAGGGCCTCCCACAAGAAGCCCTGGTCTCGGTGGCTGCTGTGCGGCCATTCCCTAGTGGCAGACCACCTTTGGCAATCTCTGACTCACAGGCCCAGGGGCCAGAGGATGAGGAGGGGCTCTGGGTAGACCCCAGGTCAGGGGTGGGGCGGGACCTCTCCTCACAGCAGCAGCCCTCAGCCACAGCTGTGTGTCCATGTTGGGAGGGGGGGGCAGTCGTGCATGCTGGAGAGCGGGACGGGTACCCCAGGAGGCTCTGGTCATGTGGCTTGGAGCCTGAATCACGGATCCGGGGGACGGGAAGTGTGTGTGTGTGTGTCTGTGGGACACTGTGTGTCAGAGCTGTTTCTCTGAGAAGTAGGTTCCTGAGTCACCTTGGCTGCTGCCACCACCTCTAATGGCAGGAGGGGGTGGAGGGCTGACCAACCGCCCGTGGGGCCTCCCGGGTGTGCATGTGCGTCTCTGCCGCGGAGCCCTGATGTGCCGTGGTCATGCGGTGAGGCCCGGGGCGGTGGGAAGTGTGTGTGAGCCTGGGCGAGAGGATCTGGGAGGGTAGGAGAGGGGTGTGTGGGTGTCCATGAATTGACCACAAGTGGCAGGGGCGCGTGGGCGTGTCCACGTGGACCTGAATGAGCGTGTGGGTGCCGTCTCTGCTGCCAAGTGAGCTGGCACCGGGTGTGGTGTGTGCGTGCATGTGCGGTGGGTGGGCAGGAGAATTTCCTCCCCGAGAGCCAGGCTTGGCCACGTCCTCTTCCGAGCTCCTTGGGAAGTGGGTTCGAGAGCCAGGGAGCTGCACCCAGCAGCCTGCACAGCACGTAGCCATGGGCCCCCCTCAGGGTGCAGAGCCAAGCTCGGGCCCTTGGCCCAGACACGTGCCCTGACACACGGCACTCTGGACTTTGTTGGGGTTCGTGGAACCTGAGCAGGGGACCCCACTTCCCCAAGGCCCAGCAGTTCCAGAGCCAGTCCTGAGGCCTAGGAGTGGAGGGGTGTGGAGGGCAGGCCTGGGGCTGTGCACAAAAGAGACCTGGGGTGTGGGGGGGAGAGAGGGAGTCCTTGGTAGGTCCCTCAAGGTGGGACCAGACACATCCCACTGCTGTGTCCACTGGGACCGGCGTGGAGAGGGTCAGCTTCCAGGCCCTGGTGAGCAGGGGCCTCTGGAGACAGGTGATAAGAAGGGAGAGGAGTACTTGGGAGTGTGAGAAAGCAGAGAGAGAATGAGAGGAGCCAGCTCTGAGTGTCCTGCGATGGCGGACAGCACAGTCATGCTCAGAGCCTGCCCTGGTACTGACCGGCCCCGGGCTTCCTGAGCTTCCCCAGCTGCCCTGGGAGGAGGAAGGACGCGACCCATCTTCAGAGGCTCTCAGCCAGGCCTGCAGCACTCAGGCCCTCCGTCGGTGGTCCTGCTGCTGCCAGGGACTCGGGAGGAGTCCCAGGAGGACACACTTCCCCTTCCCTTCCACCCTCTGGATCGGCCTTCCCACCTGTTCAAATGGGTTGGGGTGGGGGGCCCCTGAGAGACCCGGCGGCCCCCCCCACTCATTTCTTGGGAGATGAAAGCTGGCCTGTGTGTGGCTGCCGTCTCCCGAGGACTCCACACCCACCCTGCACCTGAGGAGAGGGCAGCCCTCAAAGGACTCTGAGATCAATGTCCCCTTTGTGCTGGGATCAGAGGGTGGCAGGGCCCCGATGAGGCAGTGGTACAGTCGGAACCTGCTGGGTGTCTCCGGAAAGCTTGAGCATCCGAGCACGGAGGAAGGGTGGACGGTCTCTGGTCTCTCCTGACTCCCAGGCCACTGCTCTGCGACGCTCGCTCGGCCGGTGAGCAAGGGAGCGTGGGCAGGAGGTGGCCAGCACAGAAGGACAGGGCCACAGAGAATCCCCAAGTCTCAGACGCGGCACGGGAGCTGTCTGGGAATCCCAGGAGACGTCCGAGAGCGGGGACTCCCCTCGCCCTCCGAGGCAGGACCCAGCCTGGGGTGCTAAGCCTTCGGGCTTCGAGAAGCGGGCCCCCAGGCTCGCCTGAGAGGGCGGCCCAGAGGGGAGGGCGGGAGATGGCCAAGGCCAGCTCCCGTTCACTCGGTGGACGCCAATCAGCATTAGGGTCAGCAGAGAAAACGGGGGTGCGCCAAGTGACCAGCTTCCCAGCATTCATCAAGGGCCCTCTCTCAGAAGGGCCACCCCCTGTTTTATCTTGAGATCCACATACACTTGGAGGGACCCAAAGAGGACAGGGAGAAGAGCAGGGTCACAGGGAGAAGAGCAGGG